GTGTTCAGCGTGATCGTTGGTGTGCTGTTATTTTCAATCGGTGTTAATAACAAATGGGGAAATAGTAAATATGGTGGCGAAAACATCGGAAATATTCGTTGATTGTGTAATGTAAAATAATTTAACGAGAAAATATGAAGAAATTATATAGAAGTTAGAACAATGCTTGTATATTTTTTATTAAAAATAATTTAAAATTCTATCCATGAGGATTACAAATCTGCAAAACGTTTCCGGTCCAGTCGGACCATCATCAGTAAAAAAACAAGAAGTTGAAACAAGCTACGTAAACAGATGTAGAAACCGTTATATTACATGAAAATCATTGTGAATTTTAATATTTTAATGACACTAGGTCAATGTCATAAGATTTATAATGAAGGAAACTTACGTATTTCTTGTTCGAAAGGGGAGACAACATTTTTTTAAAAGAATTGTTAATTTTGTATATTGTGGTTTATTCCCATTAAATTTATTCAAAACATAAAGATGTCACCAGAAAATCATTAAAAAATCATATTTTTTAGAACAAGGGCGTACTTCTAAATCATTCTAGAAACATAAGTAGCAGAAAAAGCAGGAAGGACAGTTATCACTGTCGTCACATGATAATCTTATTGAGATTATAATATATATCTAAATATTCTTATTTAAATATCCGGTAAGACGACCTTCTACTACCGTAATGTCATTTTTACTTATTCCACTAAGAAAATAATTCCTGCAGCTGGCTGTGTACCACGTATCACAAAAAAAGAGGTTAATCTTTGTAACTTGGTATATTTAAAAACCCTTAAAAGGGCTACATTAAAAACACGAACGTTTTCGGAATGAAAATTCCATCATCTGGTTTAAAAAAAACTCCTAAAATAAGTATAAACCATTTAGTTAAAGAAAACGTGGTTAAAATTTTGACTAAGGTTAAAAAAGCAAAAATGGTTATACTTACTAGGTTGATATGCCTGAGCCACCAAAATATTTGGGTAAAAACCCTTTAAAATAATTGTAGTTATACAAGATTGTACATAATGTTGTTTTAAATATGTGATGGTTGATTTTAAGTTAGATTTGGCTTCAGGTAACATACACCCATGGTTTGAATGAGTTCCAGTGTCCGGAGAGTAAACCTCTTAAGACGGACTAGAGCTGGTAACTGATTGACAAGATACCTATGAACGGTGTCGAAAACAAAAAGTCAATGTAACATGAAACTATATTAGTAATACATAGTATTACTACAGCCAAAAGATTCAAAAATTTTTTGATGATGTTAAAAAATAATAACAGTAATCCAGGTGTTGGGATTTAAAACTTTTTTATTTATTTATTTAATTTTGGGTATAAAAGATGTGAAATTACCGATGGTGTTAAAGGTCATATTAAAGAGAATGGCGTGTGCATTAGGCAACCTATGTTACTCTTTGTCGTATGGAGTGTGGTCTGAAAAGTGTAATTTGTGTTAGATTAGCTTAGATATATGAAAATGTCCTTTTATGTTTATCACATCTAGGACAAGGTAAAATTGAATAGTATATATTTGAAGCTAATATAAGACCTCGTATTTAAATGACATTGTTTAAGACTGCTCGTATGGTGAAAAGTTAATAAAAGTAAGTCTAATAAATTGAAAAAGGGGTTAGAAATCTTCCGGCTGAAGAAATTAAAGTTATAACCTATGGGATTAAATTTAAAATTGTCTTAGTATTTTGCCTTAGTCAAAATTTTAACCACGTTTTCTTTAACTAAATGGTTTATACTTATTTTAGGAGTTTTTTAAACCAGATGATGGAATTGTCATTCCGAAAACGTTCGTGTTTTTAATGTAGCCCTTTTAAGGGTTTCTAAATATACCAAGTTACAAAGATTAACCTATTTTTACTTATCTCGAGAAGGTATTTCAGCTAAGAATTTTACAAATCTTTGGCCGAGGCATCCAATATGACCAGCCTATCTCATTTTCTTAAAACAACTTTAAATTTTTTCTCTGAGAAGCAAAAGCACTCAATGCTGATTGACTGTCAGTACACATACTAATCTATCTGTTGCTAGTATTGATCTCTTCCATCCTCTAAGTGCACCTCAATATAGCCACAATCTGCGTTTGAAAAACAGTCGTGTACTACACCTAGAGTAATGAAGACTCCTTTGTCATTCTTACTACAGTAAAAATCTACACCTAATTTTGTTTCTGGCATAGATTCGTCGGTATACCAGACATTTCCGTCTCCTGGAACACTTACAGACTTATCCAGTCATTCCTGTAGACTCGGTACCACTTCCTGCCATTGGGCTACAAACAAAAGCTAGGAAATTGCCTATCTCCTCTCCTTTGATGTAACGGTAAATGACTATCTGGTCCTCCTTGGTCTCCAATACCTATATGACTTTAATATATACACTGCCCTAAGCCCACTTGCTTATAGCTCCTCTTTCCTGTACTTTAGGAAACAACACCATACATGAATTGGGTTACAACACCTTGGGTACTAGCACTGGCTTTCAAACCCAAAAAACATCTTTTATGTTTTTTCTAGGTGATTGTACCAGTTCAATTTTCTACCAAGATTCACTCCTAAATATTTGACAGAGGTACCATTAAATTTAGTATTAGTATAAAAGTTGAGTTTTGTCCAGGTTTGCCTTGAGTCCCGTCCTCACATTTTTATGCTCCTACCTAGGCACATTGCATATAATCAATTGCAGACGTAAGGTGCTTTTACTCTACGTAAGCGCCGCATAGGTCAGAGCATAGCACTCGCTCCATTCAACTAAGTGTACACCTACATTGGAACCGTATTTCTCCCGATCCGATATCTGGCGACGTCGGCCGACGTCGGATTAAAAACAAACTCAAGGTATTAAATCAGAGTGCCTATACTGCTTCGTCATGGAAGCAGTATAGGCACTAATACCTTGAGTTTGTTTTCAATCCGACGTTGGCCGACGTCGCCCGATATCGGATCGGGAGAAATACGGTTCCAATGTAGGTGTACACTTACTTAGTAGCCTATTGGCTGTCAGATTCCATGTCAGACAATAGATCACACAATCCTGAAGAAAACTCATACGGATAACCCCAGTATATAAGAATAACCTCATTGCTGTATATTTTCCTTTTTCGTGGAATCAGGCTTGTAATCAGTCTAGATAAAAACTGGTATAAATATTTAACTTTTAGTAAGGGTTGAGATCACACCGTCAATCTTTGTAACTTTTGGAGTAGAACAGGTAAATCATTAAAAATATCTTGACAGTTGGAGTGGAGTAACTACAAGCTTGATGCAGAACAAGAATTTAAAGCAAGTTTGCTCAAGCTAAAGATAGTTTCTTCAAGATGCTGGGTCTATTCTGCGACACAAATATCGATATCAAACTAAGATTGAAACGCGGACTCTAAAGATAAAAAGACCGAATAAGTTAGAGGCATTTGAAATGTGGGTGTGTACCGTAGAACCTTGAAGTGCACGAAAAACGAAATGAAGAAAGACAATTAGTGAGACCTATAATAAGAAAAAGCAGTTTTTTGGGTTATTTGCATAAAGAGGAAGAAACAGTAGGTTAGATTTGGTAAGGATGTCGTACACAATATTTTCTAGACTACACGGGAGAAAATTGACGTGTTTAATAATTAACACAACTAAATGCAACAGAAAGAGAGCTAAGAAAAGGTACAATATAAGTTCACCTCATAGAAGACAGAGAGAGAAAGAGTGTGTGTGAAAGAAAGAGGCGGTGATAGAGAGATAGAAAAATGTGCAGAAAGAAAGATAATAATAATTTTTAACCAATGCTGGTATACCAAGAATAAGGGTACATTTCACTAGGAGAGATGGCACAGCATTATTTGAATTTAGCTGGAAAGTCAAATATAGATTAATAAAGATTTTGTCAGTTTTATCTTTTGGGGTAGTGAAGAAGAAAAAACTGGAATTATGAAAACGTGATCTATATTGAACCACTACGGTTATTACGATAAAACCTTTGTACTAATGTTTCCTACCATTTAGAGCGTACTAAATCATGTAATTATTTCCAAATCGAAGGATCACCCACTAACGTGGAAAATAAGGACACAAGCATTTTAAACAATGCGTAATTTAATGATTGAATGTTCCTACAACTAAGTTAATATCTAGCCAAAGTTTTAACGCAAAGTTCTTTTATTGAAACCGCCGATCACTGTCCACCTTACACTAGTTCGCGACACACTACACGAGCAATGATACAGAATAAAATGTTACTGATAATTATCACTTCAACTCAGGATGTTCTCTTCAATATTAACATAATTGATTAGGAATGAGCGTTTAGCTTTTAACTATAAGCTATGTAACAATAACTAGATAACTACTTAACTAAGCAACAGTTGAAATTCTGAACCAAGAATGCGTGTATGCGATATTAACTAATATGTGACACTGAATGCAGGCGTGAGTTATACAAACTATAACCAAGAAATGCGTAGACCCACTTGGTCGAATACTACAAAGATACTGAATACTTAAAATTTTGATTGCAATGCCTAACTATCGCCAAGGGGTTTGCGGGGGACAACTTTGAGATTTCTATACAGAGGTGGGTGAAAACGACCTTTTGAATGCTTTCTAACAGGGAAATTTTGAGAATTCGTCAGAGAAAGTTAATCTACTGGGTAAAAATATCTTTCGAATAGATTATCGGCTTTCATGAGAATTTGCTAGAGAATTTACCTCGGTAGGTAGGTAGGTGGAATACATTTCTGACAGAAATTTATCCAAATTTTAAGAATAGCCAAATTAGAGATGGGCTTAAAATGGAAACTGTTGCATATAACGTTAATGCAGAAATCCCTATAAAATATAAAAATGCCCTATGTTTTAATTCTTTTTGTTAATTTAGTTATTTAGAGTAGTGATAAAATAAATTTCTGAATTGTAAAATATTGTTAGTGTTAGCTGATTACCAGTTCTTATTTCTAGAAGGCGAAAACTGTTAAAAATAAATAAAAATTAATTACTTACATTGGGGATTTTTTTCGTTATCGTTAGCGGAGTTAGGATTATCAGAATTGGGTTCTAAAAATTGGGTATAAAAAAATCAAAATGATAAAAATAAATAGAAAGCACGCAGCTTGTTTTGATTTTGAAATAATCATTACAATAATCAATATAGAAAAAAAACTACTGGTTTCTAAATAATATTTGGGTCTACAAAACATGCTGCTTATTCAAAACTAATTAAAAATAAAATATTTAATATATATATATATATATATATATATATATATATATTATATATATATTATATATATATATATATATATATATATATATATATATATATATATATATATATATATATTATTATAATTAGTATAAAATAGAGGAAGAGACCTACTATAATGAAATAAAAGTGACAATTTTAAATTTCTGGTACTTACGTTCCTGATCTGATCCATCTTCTGATTTATCATCTTTGCTTTTCATAAACGGAAATTTTCTACTAAAAGAGAAATTTTTCTTTTTCCTATCTAATGTTGATTGCTAAAAATAAAAAAACAAAAATTTATCGTGAGGAGGCACTTAATAATATCTAAGAATGTATATGTATGTTATAAAACGTTGTAATAATTTATCCAAATGTTCAATTTGTTCTTATGTTACTTTAACCCTTTCAGTTAAAGCGTCCTCATACGAGGATACAAACTTGTTTAGCATCATATTGCCGAATACTGGCATTTAACCTTTCGAAATAACATGTTTCCTGTAGAAGGATAGTGCATTTATGTACTTATTTATGACTGATAGTGCTACCTATGAGCGAACGCTATACCAATGACATAAAGTTGATGACGTCAGTTTCGCGAGAACTGTTTAACCTCCAAACAAGTGCAAATTTGTGATTGATTTACAAGTAAAATTAAAAGCTAAAAAATTGGTTTGATTGTAAGAGGAAGCTAAATTTAATAATGTAAGTTCTTATTTAAACGCACACCTAGCATTCTTGTAAACTTTGTATTTTTGTAAATATCGACGTCCTTCAGAAAGGACAAACGTACTTCATGTCACAAACTGTGAGAGTAAAATTTTTCGAGTTTAGTTTTGATTTACTTTAAGTTTACTTTGTTATCTTCATCTAAGCCTATTTCATATTAATATAAGATTGAATGCTCGAATAAATGAACTTTGATCAAGTAAAAGGCAGATGTCAAGTACAGTTTTATTAATTAAATCTTGTCCAAGTACTTTCGCTTCCTAGAGCATCTTCAGGGGCATTTCGTCAATTTGGGCCTATCCAACAAGAATAAAATGTCATAAACATAAAATTGTACATCACACTACACTACACAAGGACAAACACTTCAAATTTTAAAACAGGCGAAGCTACATTATGTTCGGAAACCGGAAACGAATCATTCTGTCTATGTCCTTAAGTAATGGGAGATCCAGATCATTGTGTAGTGTTTGGTTAGATACATACCATGGAGCTTAACATATCATACGGAGTATTTTGAATTGGAATGTTTGAAGGATCTTCGTATTTGAATGTTTACTACAGCTCTATAGTTCTATTCCATATACCCAAACTGGTATGAGTATAGCTTTGTACAGAAGCAGCTAATTTTCAAAAGGTAATTGAAACGTTTTGTTAAATAGCCAGTCCATACTTTTTAGTTTAAGATCTAGTTTTTTCCGTTTAGATGTGCGTTGTCCATGTAAGTTTTTTATCCAGATGCAATCACAAATAATTGACAACTGATTTTATGGGAATAGAAGTATTATTAATATAAACTTGTGGACATGTAGATTTTCTTGTTGTAAAAGTAATCTGTACTGATTTTCTAGCATTAACACTGACCTTACATCGCTTAAGCCAGTTGTAATTGGACTAAATGATTTTGTACTTTTTGTGATGCTACATTAGGGTGGATATCCACTGACAAGATTTCCGTGTCATTGGCAAAAGTAGCTAAGAAGGGATCGTTGCTGATAGAACGTCTGATATAAATATCAGATAAAGAAATGGGCCCAAAACGCTACCCTGAGGTGAGCCAGATTGTATGATGTGGTAATTTGAGTAGCTAGCTGTCTTTAATTCTGACTTGGAAGTAACGGTTAGTAAGATACGATTTTAGTATTAAGTATAGTTGGTCTGATAGGTGTAATTTCAGTTTGTAGAGGAGACCCTTATGCCATACTCTATCAAATGCCTTTTATATATCTAGGAGCACTCCATCGCAAAACTTTTTCTCTTCGAGAAACTATTTTCTAGAAATGCCATAGAATAGTAAACTTACATTTACTATTCTATGGCATTGTTATGTAATAGTAGCCTTTCTAATACTTTCAACATTATTGAGAGGAGGCTTATAGGGTGATATGAATTTGCTTGCGTTGCGGGCTTACCAGGTTTCGGAATCATAGTAATTTGAGCAAATTTCCATTGTATTGGAAAGGATCGAAGACGTAGTATGCTGTTGTATATTATTGTTAATAACACCACTGCTTTTCTCGGTAGCTTCTGAAGTAATTGTCCTGTTATCAAATCATATCCAGGAGCCTTCTTAAGATTTAGCATTTTTATTTGTTGTCGAACCTCTGTCGGAGTAAATGTTGTCAGAAGAAGGGATAGCTGACAAGGAGTTTCAAGATACATTCTTATATTATTATCTTCAACGTTATTAGTATCTGGTGCTGCGAATACAGTTGCAAGATGCTTTAGGAATGCTGTTGTTTTTTTCTGCGGTTGTGTGGGCCCAAGCCAACAGATAGTTTTTCTTAAATGTGAATTTGTTATTGTCGGTCGTTTAAAATTTTTTTGTAGCTTTCCTTATAGAGTGGTCTTCAGTAGAAGGTTCGAAACATAAAACTGGAAAGAGTCGTTTTTTTTCTTCATGTAAGCTCTATTTAGACTTATACTGTTAAGGTATGTTTTATTTAGTGGATTTCTCGTTTGTTGCCATATGCGTCGAGCTCCTCTTTTTTCAGCTAAAAGTTCTCGTATATGTAGGGGGATATTATGGTTTTCTTCCACACTTCTTTATCGCTAAATATATTATTTAAAATTTAAAAATACAGAAAACATAGTATGAAGCTCCGTGCTAGTGTCCAGTTTCACTTTTTTTGTTCAAAAGAATATTATAGTATACAAAGATATGTAACATTCAGATCTTCTTCTTCTTCGTCTAGCCATTCACGTCCACATCTGAACATAAGCCTCTTCAAGTCTTCCTTTCCATTGTTTTTTTATCGTACGCTACTTGTAGCCAATGTTTCCCGGCAGTCCTTTTCAGATCATCTGTCCATCTCATAGGAGATCTGCCTCTGGGTCTTTTGTGTTGGTATGGTCTCCAGGTTAAAATTGATCTGTGCCATTTGTTTAGATCGCTCCTAGCTACATGTCCAGCGTATTCCCATTTCAACTTGAATGATTTTTGCACCACATCGGTGACTTTGGTTTTCTGTCTTATCCATGTGTTTGTTTTCTTGTCCTTAAGTGATATACCTAGCATTTCTTTCCATCGCGTGTTGAGTGACTCTAAGTATATTCATATTCTTTTTTGTGATTGTTCATGTTTGTGCCGCATAAGTTAATATCGGAATAAGGCATGCATCAAAAACTTGCATGCGATCTAAGATGTAATTGAATTTGTTGATTTCTGAGTATATAGTTCAGTTTACCGAATGCTGCCCAAGCTAACTTTCTTCTTCTTTTTATTTCTTCAGTTTGAATTTCCCTATTTAGTATTATTTTTTGTCCTAAGTATATATATTCTTCAACTTTTTCTATAACTTTATCGTTTATTATTATCACTTTGTCTTCGGAGTGCATGACTTTTGTTTTGTTTAAATTCATTTTCAGTCCTATTTTAGAAGATTCGGTATGTAGTTCTAAAAGCATGGTTTGCATTTCCCGTAGGTAAGTATCTATCAGGATTATGTCATCTGCAAATCGTAGATTACCCAGGTAGCGGCCATTGATGTTTATTCCCTTATATTTCCAATTTAGGTTTTTAAAAACGTCCTCCAAAACTAAGGTGAACAGTTTGGGTGATAAAGTATCTCCCTGTTTGACTCTCCTGTTTAATGGTACAGGGTTCGTGTGTTCATTTTCATTTAGGTAGTATGTAGCTGTAGCTTGGTTCATAGTTTCTTTTATTAAGTTAATATATCTGCTGTCTATTCTACAATTTTGCATTGCGTTTATTACGGCCGTGTGTTCTATGGTATCGAAAGCTTTTTCGTAGTCTACAAATGCTAGGAAAACTGGAAACTTGTATTCGTTACATTTTTCTATTAATATTTTTGTGGTTAACAGGTGATCGCAAGTTAAATAGCCATTTCTAAAGCCTGCCTGTTCATATGGTTGGTATTTGTCCAATTTCCTTGTTAGTCGAGTAGTTATGACTTTGGTGAGTATTTTAAACAGGTGTGACAGTAGGCTGATGGGTCTGTAGTTTTCCAATTTTCGACTATCACCTTTCTTGTGAAATAAGATTACTTTAGAGTTGTTCCAGCTCTTAGATACTTTGCCCTGATGTAAACAACTGTCCACAAGCTTCTCTTCATGTTTTCGAATGCTGTAGTTACCTCTGAAATTGTTACTTTTGGCATTATTTCTGATCCAACATTTTTTATTAATTTCCGTGCTGGTCTCATCTCATCATCTTTTTGATGTGTTCTGTAAAGTTATGTGTAAAATTCTTCTATTCGTGTCAGTATGTTTTCTCTAGTTGTGATTTCATTTTCGTCTTTTCCCATTAATGATATTATCTGACGTCGTCCTAGTGTCGGTCTGAGACATTTCATACTCTTATTTTTTTCAATAGTTGTTGTTATTAATTTTTCGTTTTCTTTTCTTTTTTGTTGTCTGATTCCTTTTCTAATCTGCCTATTAAGTTCTCTATATTCGCCGGTTCCCCTTTTGTTAGATTTATTTAAGATCTTCCTTCTTTTGATTTGTTGTAATATTTCTTTGTCTAATTCATTGTATGTTGTTTTTGGTTTTTTCAGTTGCAGAAGGCTTTTATTCACTGTTTCGGTAATAAGGTTATTCAAATCATTAAGATCTATATGTATATAAATAGCGTATTATAGCGCATAACCTATAAACATCTTCTACTCTTAACCCATTAGACATAATGGTCAATCCCGAGTCTTAGTGGAATAAAGCTTTTCGCTGCGGGTTATTTAAAAAAAGTCCATTTGAAATTAATTCATTTACTGATCGTAATGGCGAAGGCGGTGTAAAACAATGTGTGGAGTAATGTAACCGCAGCTGAAACCACATCTAAAGTATTCGAGTTTCAAGTACAAAATCTCAACACGTTAAATTCAGTAAGTTCAAGTTTCGGAAAGTAATAGTAAAGAAATTTTTATAAAAATGTTAATCGAATTCATTTCGTGTAATCACAAATGGTGAGTGGTAAATCTGTATCATATCTAATACTTTGCTTATCTAATTCTTTAGAAGTTAGGCCTGACCCGATAATTTTGTAGATCTCATTTATTATAATAGTTTCTCGGCACTTGGTCACTTTGAGTTGATTTTTGGGTGACCCAATAATACGTTCGACTAGGATTTCTTTTGAGAAACCGAGGGACCTCACCACATAATAACAGATAAGGGTAATTCCAGCAATAATCAACACAAGTCGGTGGGGTCACCCTCTCCGATTTGGGTAAAATTTTACACACATGTTGCACTAGACAAAAAAACATGATTGTCAAATTTACAGACCTTAATATTCAAAATGGCGGCCGTGGCGCGCTATTGAAGTTTCACGCTTTTTATCAATTTTTTTTTCGTGTTTCGCCGATTTTTTTAGTACAGCGAGCTAAATATGCTTAAACAAATATCCACTATATGTTTCCCAATGTAAAATTTTCCGCTGAATACGATCCCGGTGTCAAAATTGCCATATGACGTCATATAAAGCCACAAAATCCGAAACAAAGTGCTTTTTTTGAAAAATTCATATCTCAAAAACACCCTCTTTAATTTTTTTCAAATTTTCACAAAAGACTCCTTAATACAAGTACTTTTGAATAAAAGTTGTCTCAGAAAACCTTTTTATATGTTTGAAGCCGCTGCGCCCTATAAGAGTCCAAAAACGCGATTTTCCCGCCTATTTTAGCGCCTTTTCTTCGTTTTTCAGCTTCCAAATAACTTTTGAGGTTTTCTGACAACGAATTCGGATTCTACGGATAATTTTACACAAAAAATGACACCAATTTTACCGTTTACCGTTTCAATACAATTCCCTTCTTGAATTAATTACTATTTAACTGGGAATAAGCCACAAATAAAGATAAAAATACGTTTATTGACGTTTCAATTTCCACTTCGGAAATCGTTCTCAAAATACAAACAGTAAATTGAACAATACTCCCTGCTTGCTTTCCTTTTCCCCATTTCGAACTCCAGTTCCTAGCAAATATATGTTTTATCTCTTTATTGGAGTTCCGAATCTTCGAGCATATCTACCTTTGGGTAAGGTGTCCCTGGTACTGGATTCTAACATCCTTACCCATCCAAATTGTCTCATACTTGCTGGTTGGTAAGTATTTCTCTGGTAAACACTATCGGTTTTCTCCCTACTTACCGATCCTAACATTCTCAATCAAAGTTGTAAGTACCGAGAAGACACAGTATCACCAGAGTGGGCCATTTGAGAGTACTCAGTACTTGTTGCTGTTGTTTGTGCGGTGGAAACATCTTGTGATTATGCAGACCATCAAGATGTAAGCATGCACTCTAGCAAGTCTCTTAGACCGTATTCGACTGAGCATTTATACTCTACTACGACTATACTGAGGGAGGTCTTGGAATTGTTGGTCTAGGGAACAGTTAATGCTCTCTGCTATCTCTTACGTAGTTGTTTATTTACATATTTCTTTATTTCTTATGTATTACTCATACTTATTATTATTGTCATCATTTATTTCTCACAAAAATATCTCTCGATACGATAAGAAAGTTATTGACGCACTACACGAAAACAATTTTAAGTAGAGTATTTAATTTAACTTACCTTATCAAGAATATTAGGTGCATGTCCCTGAAATTTAACAGATCTATCTCTAGCTCTCTGTTTTCTCTCCCACCGTCTCTTTGATGGGACAATACCCATACCCTGTTCATCTCCAGTATTAAGTACTCTTCTGGCTTGCCACCATTCGTCATCGCTGGCGTTTGTCACGTGAAGAATATCGCCGTAGTGGAATGCCAGACCTCGGCTTGGTAAACCGTCGTCTTTCATTGGATCGTAATCGAATAATGCCCTAGAAAAGTAAAAAAAATTCAAAACAAGTTCTTCAATAACAGCAATACAACGAAAAAACATATAGTAACATTAAGAATCCACAAATCTCCTTACGGTATAGCAATATTTCGGCCATGTTATGAGAGGTGGGCCCTACGAACTACTGCAGGTGATCACGCAGGGGTAAATACAAAAGGACAAAGAAGCCGATGCAGAAGACGCTTTTCCTGGCTAAACAATATAGGAACGTGGTTAAACTGCAGTTCTACAGAACTGTTGTCAGAACTACGATGGTTGTCAACCTTCTAGAGAAAACGGCACGTAAAGAAGAAGATTGAAAAACTTTTCAATCTTTACAGCTTTGCATAAAACCTCGATCTAAATATGCTTTTCACCATTTAACAAGCATACGACTCTATGTAGACGATACAGTTATTTTAAGTGATGACATGAATGGATTACAATGCCTTTTAAATGCCATTGATAAAGTGGGAAGAGAGTTTGGCCTAAACATAAACTGTTCAAAAACAAAACACATGGTGTTTAGCCGTTTAGCACATCAAGATGCACGATTATATGTTGATGGTCATATAATTCAAAGAGTGTCCAGTTTTAAATATCTTGTTTGCCATATTACTGAACAACTAGATCCAGATCAAGAGATAAAATGTAGAATCGAGATAGCCCGCACGACATTTTTAAAAATGAGGTCATTCTTCTGTAATGATAACTTGCAACTTCAACTTCGAAAGCGCATAGTTAAATGCTACATTTGGTCAGTCCTCTTATACGGTGTCGAAGCATAGACATTAAAAATATCCACGATTAATCGTCTGGAGTCCTTTGAGATGTGGCTGCACAGACGTATACTAAAAATTCCATGGACGGCTATGCTGACAAATGTGGAAGTCCTTGAAAGAGCAAATGCTGCTCGCGAGCTGCTTGATAACATCAAATGTAGAAAGATGGCATATTTTGGACACGTAGTAAGGGGAGGCGATATAATATTCTTCAACTTATTATGATGGGTAAAATCGAAGGACGCAGAGGAATTGGTAGAAAGCAGGCCTCTTGGTTGAAGAATATCAGGGAGTGGACAGGAATAAAGAATGCTGAGCAACTATTTAGAATAGCTCGAGACAGTTTCGCCATGTTAATCGCCAACGTCAAGGGGACTTGATAGAGCACGTTAAGAAGAAGACGACTCTAAAACTGTGGAAAGTTATTGGAAATGTTGATAATACCACGAAAGTTACTTGAAATGATTCTAACCAATCCAATAAAATTTTACTACATGGAAGACACCCAAATAAGTTCACCATCAAAAGATATTTGAGGTAGGGCGATCCATTGTCGACGGATTTATTCAATAAAACAAGATTGATTCTTCGTCATATACAACAGAATATGCAGATGACGAAGTATTAATGGCTAAATCAAGGAAATATTACTACAGAATGAATTTGCTAATTTTGAATAAGGGACATATTATATGGTTTACACGTAAATTAAAACAAAACAAAGTAAATGGGGAGACTGAAGAAAACAATTTAAAAATGTTTTAACTGAAAATTGAGAAATATGGAAGTAGATACTTACAATAAATATGGCTAAAGGAAGGGATCGGAAAGAAAGAGGAATCCTTAGAGATAGCAGAGTAACAGACATCCTTAGGGACAGCAGAGCAACCAAAACTTAAGACAAGAAAACTTCGAGTAGCTTTTGCATATAGTATAGTTCCATAAGGAAGCGAAACTTCATCTATAACCAAACAAGACGAAACGAAATTAGAGATATATGGAGGCGAACAGTATAGCGAAGGATTTTTGGAGGCAGCAAAATAACAAAAGTAAAATGGCGAAGACGAAAATTACACCAAAGATAGCTCACACATAATCAGAAAGCCAAAAAGAAGAATGGTCAAAACCCGGTTGCTATTTGGAGAAGATGGAAGAAAAAAAGAGAAGGCTAAGGAAAATGGTATAATAACTTTAAAATGGATGTAGGAAACATATTAACCTAGCAGATGATTTAAAATCTATTGAAATTGGAAAATGGAGAAGAGTTGCCAGAGATAGGGGTGAATGGAGGATTGTTCTGAAGAAACCTTTGGCTCATAACGAGCTATGATGCGACTGATAATGATGAAAAACCATATTAAATATCTTTTTATGTTTAGGATTTAAGTTTTCATGTTCAACCAATTACATTTTTAATGGAAATTTAATTAACGTAAGAGATTCGACTTAAAAGATGATCTAATAAAGCCATCCAAACATGATTTAAATACTCGACTACATTGCACAAAGTCTAGTGAACGAGGAGTTTTTTTGACAACTAATAATTATGATTATCTTCCTTAATGATCTTTTTACTAACTTTGTTGTCACCTGTCTTCACCTTGTACGTATATGTTGAAGTGAACGATTGTGAAGTGTGTATTGTTTTGAGTGCTGTGAATGAAGATAATATTTTCCCCAAAGAAGCAAGACAGGAACTTAAAATCAGAATAACTCAGTATTTACTTTCGTCTTCCTAAGTACTTGTATGCATATAGTAGTACTTGATTAAAGTAGTATCTAGTAGATTTTAGTACTTACCTCACATAGAGAGATCGTTTCTGTGATGTTCTAAGTAAAGTACCACCCGTAACAGGATGTGCAATCTGTTGTTTTAGGTCATGAATTTTAGCTTCGAATCTGTTGTATTCTTCGGGCCGATATTGTACTACAACGCTGACTGTCTGACTTGTACCCTAAAAGCAATATCTTGTTGAAAAATGTGAATATTTTGAAACTATGAAAATAGATAACACATGCAATACTTGGACTTACAAATACATTAAAAGCAGAAATAAAAAGCCATGCGTTTTTCACAAAAGCCGTTGTTTTATAGAAAAAGCTAGCTAGGAGAGCTAAAATTTACTATATTTAATATAAAAATGAATGTTTATTAATATTATATCATATCTCTATGTTCTGATACTGTAATTTAGAAAAACGATTACGATTCTGGTTATGCAAGCGCTAAAACACACAGATTTGAAAATATAACATTTTCATTAGTTTAGATCATAAAAACGGAAAGGTTCAAGGGGATATTCATTGATGATTTATGTTCCATAAATATGTAAAATTAGTAAATAACCATATTAGTAAGAAATAATGAAAGGATAATAAAGGAGATATTGGAATAAAGGACACATATTTTTATGACGTACTTTGGGTTCAAATAACAAAATCATAAGTCAAAGATAAAATATTTAGAAAGTTCGTGCAGTTCAAAATGGACTTGTAGGATTATTACATCAACGTTTTATTTTTTTAGGGGTTTAGTTAGGTAAGTTTAGGATGTTCTCTCCATCGACCACGTTGGTTAGGCCCTTCCAGGAAGCATTACGACTGTTGAATTGACGATCGTATCTGAAACCGAGGGCCATCCGATAAATACATCAGGAAGAAAATAAGCAGGAGACATAAGCGAAGTTACCGGGAAGAGATAGATTAATTCTCATCCGGAAAGGCCGAAAAGAGATAAGCTTAAGCGCAAAAAGAACTTATTAGAATTGAATTAAAGCGCAGCGAAAAGGCGAGAAAGTAGTAAGCATTTCACAATAATAGAGGTTCTCATAAAGTATGAGGAATTAATTAAGTACCTGGCAAGATAATCGTAGAAAATCCAGAAATGAACAAAAAGTAAGCCAGATAGTACCAAAACTAAAGCGAAACGCCAAAATTTCCAAGAAAGACCCAATAGTAACCTTGTTAAAAGAAATAAGATACGAACCGTACAACAAGAAGACTACTGGGGTGGCCACGCAGACTAAACCGTGGCATGAGATTGGCCCAGGAAAGATAATTAAAAATATAAAAAATGTTACACTCTATGCTACGTTGGAGTTAGCTGTACGCTACACGATGAAGTATTCATGCGAACAAAGGTTATGGTAGGGAATCCCCTAACAATGGGGAATGAGTTAGTAAATGTGGTGCTGGTGGAGCCCAAATGATAAGCGCATTGACATCAGCCTCCAGAGCAAGAAAGAAAAGTTCCCATAACAGGAATAGAGGAATTTAAGGTATTAGAGCGTAAATCAAAATATCAAGGGGTCAGAAAAAAAACTGAATAATCCAGTCAGGGAAAAGGGAGGATCTGTGGAGGCAAATCTACATGGTCAGGGAAGAAGTAGGAGATAAGGAGAGAGTGCCTCTGCATCACATCGGGATGCTCAATGTAGAAGATTTCAGGAAGATGGAGTTTTAATTTAAAATAAGGAAGTTATTACACTTGTTCCGATAGTTGACCTAAGGGAAGCCGGAGTTTCTTTTCGGGAAGTTACGAATAGGGTTAACAGATATTTAGATATTGTGTTTTGTTGAGATGTTATTGGGCATGGCGTCAAGAACGCTGAAAACGTAGATCGAGGTGCACAGAGTGGCGCCCTAAGACCGTCGCCTAAAGTTGATGACTCTCCACAACCAGGTCTATGGCAAATCAATGGTTTGCAAACCATGGCCAAGTGATCTGTTTAGGAATGCTTGACAGACGACCAGTTTTTTGACGAACGGCACGTGCGCCACACTGTTGGGGTTATGGTGTGGAGTGACATCGCTTATGGTTGAAGGTCACCTCTACTCTTCGTTAAAGCGATAATGACAACTCAGAGATACGTAGAAGATATTCTAGAAGTTCATCACATACCATATTTTCAGGCATTCCAAAATCCAATTTTTATTTACTTCAATGTAGTTTTTTAAGCAAGCTGGAGTCAATATTTTGCAGTGGCCCCTTAGATTCCCAGATTTATCCCCAACTGAACATGTATCGGACATAATGAATCAGAGACTTCTTAATTTAGAGCACCGTCCTCAAAGTTTGGAAGCACTTCGGGAGGAGTTATTAGGGCATGAAACGAGGTAGACCAGGAGTGATTTAACCTGGAAAGTGATCGAAACCGGTCGTCCAAGGTAGAGAGTAGAAATGGATCAAAGAGAACCCCCATGAACAAATTATACCCAACATACAAATCAATGGTATCACCCTTCAGAGCTTCCAAATCTTCATACACCTGGGCAGAGAGCTGAACAGTCAGCTAGACCACTCAAAAGAAATTAGAAGACGTATTGAAATAGCAAGATCTGGCTTCATGAACATGCGTAAAATGCTCTGTAACCCCAAGCTATCAATCACAATAAGGTTAAGAACACTAAAGTGTTATGTGTGGTTTCTACTACTATATGGCTGTGAGACCTGGACATTAAAACAGTATGACGTCAACAAACTGAATTCATTCGAAATGTGGATGTACCGCCGAATGCTAAGAATAAGCTGGAAGCAGCAAAACTACAAATGAAGAGGTACTGGAAATATTGAACACACGACCTCATCTGGTTAATACAATCAAAATTAGAAAGACGTCATATCTAGGACACATAATGCGCCATAAGGAATTTGAGCAGCTCCAGGTAATATTAGAAGGCAAAATCGAGGGTAAAAGGGGTATAGGAAGAAAGAAGAAATCCTGGCTCCGAAACATCAGAGATTGGACTCACACAACAGGAAATGACTTAATCCATCAAGCCCAGAACACAGAAAAATTTGCAATATTGATCGCCAACCTCAATAGAGAAGGCACTTGTGAGGAGGAGGAGAAATGGAATTGGAAACTAGTATCAGTATTACAGAATAGTAGGGAAATAAATGCAGATACATGGAGCAGACCTCTGGCGGAAGAAAAAACATGGAAGAAGGCGAGTGGTGTGGTGTGTTGTATGAAAGAATGATTCCTAAAACACTGCAGGAAAATTTTTATAAAGCAGCTATGAAACGAGCTATACTCTACTGTGCCGAATATTAGGCAGTTAAAAAAACAGAAGAAAAATGAATGAATGTGAAAAATAAGAATTCTTAGATAAATAAATGCCAAGAAAGGATAAAATTAAGAATAGATATATTGGAGGAAGTTTATAGGTGGCTCCAGTCAATGTCAAAATGACACATCTGTTGTCCAAATGCGTATAATTTTAAAGTTTAAGTTAAATATTAACGCGCGAAATAATAAAAAGCTGACAGATTGTGTAGAAAATAGAAAAAATACCCGCACGATGATAAGAAGATAGAAGACAAGAGAATAACAACTGAACAAGAGATAAAAGAAGGTATCTATTAATTGACTACTATTAAAAAATCATGAAATGGACTCTTTCTTCAAGAAAAAGTCAAAATGGGAATGGATGTAGCAGATGTAGACAAAAAATGAGATGAAGCGTTGATAATGTGGGAACCATAAACTGAAGGCAAGAATAAATGGCGATAAATAACAGATGCCTATTTCATATTACAAACAAATTTGTTACTTCTTAGCAATGTTTATATTCTTTAATAAGCTATATCTATAATAAAAACTTCGAATACTCTTCTATATATTTTTCTACATTTACTGAAACAAACCATGTTATATTTTTGCATAAACGATTTAGAAATTCAAGAACAAGCCAAAAAATCCATACCAAAACATGCTTAAAAGAGCTTTTCACACGTATCACACTGTTGTAAGCCATAATAAAATTGTACTACTTGTCTTACCAGATGATTATTTACCTTCAGGGCCAGCGCCGCCTCCTCGTGTGTGGCATTTCTGAGATTGACTCCGTTGACGCTCAGAATCTGATCGCCTCTTCGGAGTTCTCCGCTCAGGTCGGCGGGCCCTCCTGCCAAAATGAACGATATGAAGATTCCTTCGCCATCTTCACCGCCGACGATATTAAAGCCGAGACCTGCGTTGCCTTTCTGAAGAACTACGGTTCGCACATCTCTGCAAAAACGGACAAAGTTAAAAATAATGAAAATAACACGTGTAAAGTTTGATTCTATAGTATTTTTCAATGTGCAATAAAAGCAAAACAAATGTTAAACTATTTTTATTACGTCTAAGTACGCCATACTTAAGTCCACATGTGACTAATTTTGTCTGCGTATTATAGACGCAACTCCACTTTGTTTCCCCCAAGTACCTAATAAAAATGTCTATGTTACCCTAATTAGTATGGCAATCGGTTATAAAAAGAACCCAACCACGATTTGATCTCAGTTATTAGTTTGTTGTCGCGATGGCCGCTGACGTCAATTTACATCTTTTTTGTACAGTTCAGTAGTGAAAAACCCACGTATGTGGTAAGTTTAATTATTTTTTTGCCAATTTATTTAGACATAATGTAAAAAAAGATTTTTCTTTAATTTCCAGGGTTTTTTCAATTCCAGGCTACTTACGGAAGAGCCCTTATTGAATATTTCGTCAACTTCCGCATTATCGCTTTATTTCTGCCATCTTTTTGTCCAAAATCTTTTCCCATCATTTTGTTTCGATACGAAGTAGTGGCTATACCGTACTGAGGAGACCTAAAGAGGTCGAAATACGTATATGCGGCTTGTCGCTGCCCTGTATCGAATCAAAATCTAATACCGTCATTATGTTTTATAGAATTCCATTTAAAACAAAATGTATTATAAAAAAATGCATTGTAACTAATTTGTACCCAACGTAATTAACCATGTAAACATGAATGTAAATTGTACCTGTGTTAATGACCATTAGCTGTCGAGACATATATTTTCGAAAAAAAAAAGAAAAAGAAAACACCATATCATAAATAATAATCATAATCATAATAAAATAATCATAAATAAATGTCACTGGACCAATTACATTCAACAACTATTTAATGATGAAAGAGAAGAACTCTCATTTGAAATCACCGAGGATACCGGACCACCAATAAGAGAAGAAGTCATCTATGCCATCAAAAACACAAAAGAGGGTAAAGCTACTGGACCAGATGCGGTGCCCATCGAATTATTAAAACTCATCGATGAAGATGTTATTGATGTAATGGTTGAACTCTTTAATCTAATATATCAAACTGCCACAATCCCCAGACAATGGCTGCAGTCAACCTTTGTAGCAATTCCCAAAAAACCAAGTTCAACAACTTGCTCACCACAGAACAATAGCTTTAATGAGTCACACACTTTTGAAAATAATTCACAGCAGAATTGTTAAAACTCTTGAATATGAGATTAGTGACACACAATTTGGCTTTAGAAATGGTATGAGTACAAGAGATGCTTTGTTCGGCTTGAATGTGCTGGCTCAGGGATGCATGGACATGAATCAGGATATGTACTTATGTCTTGTAGACTTTGAAAAGGCATTTGATAAAGTTCAACATAAAAAGCTTGTAGATATATTAAAAAGCAAAAATATTGACAGTCGTGATATGAAAATTATATCTAATTTATATTGGAATCAAACTGCCAAGGTAAGAGTTGACAGCAAGTACACCGAAAATATCAAAATACAGAGAGTAATTCGCCAGGGTTGCGTGCTGTCCCCACTACTTTTCAATGTCTACAGTGAAGCGGTATTTCAAAAAGCGCTCTCAGACTCAATAGAAGGTATATCTATCAATGGAGAAGTTTTGAAGAACTTACGTTTTGCAGACGATACAGTAATAATTACGGATAACAACAATGATTTACAGAACGTAATGCAACGCCTTAATGAACGCTGTCATGAGTACGGACTGAAGATAAATTTGAAGAAAACTAAATGCATGATCATGACTAAATCTGCACATGCAAATATCCAATTGACTATTTAAGATACTGCAATTGAGAGTGTTAATAACTATAAATACTTAGGAACATGGATAACATCATATGTAGACCAAACCAAAGAAATTAAGACACGTATTGAAATAGCACGAACATCATTTATTAAACTTAAAAAATTTCTTTGTTGTCGGGATATAAGGTTAGAACTACGTCTGAAAATGCTTCGATGTTACGTGTTCTCTACTCTTCTTTATGGTTTGGAAGCTTGGACACTAAAACAAGTTCATCTGAATAAGTTGGCCGCCTTTGAATTTTGGTGTTACAGAAGAATCCTACGAATATCATGGACTCAATGAATGTCAAACATGGAAGTAACTGGAAGGATAGGAAATGAGGCGGAAATAATATTAACTATTAAAAAACGAAAACTTGAGTACTTGGGACATGTGATGAGAGGGCAAAAATACGCATTATTACAACTTATTATGCAGGGCAAAATCCGAGGAAAGAGAAATGTCGGAAGACGAAGAATATCCTGGCTTAAGAACTTAAGGCACTGGTTTGAATGCAGTAGTGCAGAACTTTTTAAAGCGGCAGTCAACAGAGTCCGCATAGTCATGATGATTTCCAACCTTCGATAGAAGATGGAACTTAAAGAAGAAGAATATCATAAATAAATTTAGAAGATAAATTCTTCAACTTCGATTCTTTGTGCTGTATTTCTCACGAAAATAAAACTATGGCATAAAACCATAATTCTGTTTTTTGTGTGTATTAAAGTCTAGAACAAAGCTAACTATTCATAAAGGATCGAATGAAAAACTGTTATATAACCGCGGTACTTTTTTAGTGGACTTTAATTTAATTACATCAGCGATCAAAGTGTTACAATATTCATTGTAACTCAACGGGAGATCTGTCGACCTCTACCTGAGGAGCTACTCTCGCTTTGATATCATCATTTGTAAACAAATTAAAGGCCTTGCTATGTATACCATGGATGCTGATAACGTTTAGTTTCGTTATTGTTTTATGTAACTATGAGGAAAATTATTTTTAAAATACTTGATAATTTCATGTAGACCATTATTTCATGTAGAATGTCATAATAATTATAAACAGGAAGTTGACTGCAATTTTTATACTATATTACATCATTTATGGTAAATTGTTGGTCTTGATAGTTTTTATATAACTAGACTGGCAAGGTGACTTCTAATATGGTTTTATAAAATTTAAGGAAGATTTGTCTTATTACCAAAGATGATCAAACAACTTTAGGCTATCTTGATTTCCTGACTAATGATAAGTTTAATAATCTGAGTATTGATCTATTCACGTATAGTCACATATCACATATAATCACCTTAATTAGTGAATTTTTTAAAACAGCTCACTGTCATATAGGGTAATGCCTGTATTAATCTGCTGCAGTAAAGTGTTTGCAACTCCAAACTGTTGGTTCTAATTCATTTATGGCATTTATACAAAAAACGGTGTTTTTTTATCATTTTTATCGTATCAACTCAGTATCTTACGGTAAAATGAGTAGAATATTGAATGAAAGTACATAAAAATGCTTTAAAACTGTGATTTATTAGATTAAAACAAATAGTTTATGCAAAATTAATGATTGAATTCCAAAAAAGGGAATTTTTCGCCATTCTACTATATCTTTTGTAAAAATCAGAGATAATACCATGACGATTTCTCGAGAAAAAAGAATTGGAAATACAATTCAATTTATTATTGTATAGGGAATGACACAAATTCCCAGGATTCGCTGACACTGGAATACCTCGGAGTTATTTCATATTCCTATATTCTGGAAGGTCATAAGTAGGAATCTTATCTAACAGATTTTGTAGAATAGAATATTCGCAGTTATTGTTTGTGAAAACTAGGAGTGATTATAAAATCCTAAAATCGGCACTCCATAAGATGTACAGCAAAATTACCAGAAATTACTCTATTTACTCAAGTAAATTTAACATTCACCACAGAAAATGTTTCTAGCGCCAAAAATTTAGGTATTGAAGTGAGATAAACCCACCCTGGATACATGAAAACCATACTCAAAGACCACAAAAACAGAATGTATGGTCGGGTGTAGTGGGACTCAGTTAATTGGAACGTTTTTTATAGAAGGAATTTTAATAAAACGATAATTATAAAATGCTAGTTATGAAATGTCCTAAAAAACAAGTTTGTAACCCATTTTAATGAGATATGGTTCCAGCAAGACGAATATCCAGCTCATTTTGGTGTAAGTATTCGACACTATTTAGATCCAGGCCAAAATACAATCTAGACAAATTAAAAACGACTCCAGGACGACACATGTTTAGGGAGGACTTCAACTCAAAGCAAGAGAACGTGAAGTAAATAGCTGGGAAGATTTGGCAGATGTTTTGACAAAAATAGCTGAAGATAAACTGGGTAAAAAAGAGAAACATAGGAAACAATGGATGTCAGATAAAACTTGGAATCTTATCGAGGAAAGAAAACAGCATAAGAAAGATATTTTGCAAGCAAGAACTGTAGAGGAAAGAGCGAACCGACAAAAAGAATACGAAACAATAAATAAATCCGTTAAAAGAAATGCAAGAAGAGAAAAAAGAAGGTGGGCTAAAGAACTATCAAAACAAGCTGAAACAGCTGCAGAACATAATGGAGCTAGAGAGCTAGACCAAATTAATAGACAACTAACAAAAAATGGGCCCAACTGTTCAAACATTGTAAGATCCAATACAGGTGAATTACCTACTACAACAAATGAACAAGCAGAGAGATGGAAAAAGCATTTTCAGGAGATGTGAGGCACGCCTAGAGAAAACGCAGATGAAATTATCGAAAACCAGCAGAATGTAGACTTGCGTATATCTTGCGAGGCTCCGTCCAAAACGAAGACAATAATTGCTATCAAATCTCTGAGAAATAACAAGTCTCGAGGAATTGATAACCTTCCAGTGGGTTGAAAATTGATAACAGGGAAACAAACTGCATTCCAGCGGGTTGAAAAAGGGATAACATTATCAAGCTTCCAAAAAAGGGCAACCTCACAATGTGTAAAAATTATAGAGGAATAACCTTGATTACCGCAATAAATAAAATCTTCACGATCATCATACGTAAAAGATTAACAAACAAGATTGCATTTCGAGCTGGTCAAGCAGGCTTTAGACCAGAATCCTCCTACAT